TTTCTGTTGAGATAAGGATTCTGGTTGCTTAGTGAAAATATTTTATTCAGAAATTTAATTGGTTCTAAAAACATTTAATTGGTTCTATCCTTCTTGGGAGGCCAGGGCAGGGGCCGGCGGGGGCGGGTGGTGGTGGTGGTGGTGGTGGTGGCAGGGTTGGGGAGGGAGTATTCTAATTGTGCTTCTCAGATCTCCTTCCAGAATGAATTTTCCATCTCAAAAAATCAAGGACTTCTCTGAAAACAGCAGACAGCAGACAGCGCATTATCCTCAAGCTGGTGAATAGGATGGATTTTTCTCCCTAAACGTCCCTTCTGCTCTCTAGTTTGAATTATCAATAAAATGACTTGGCTTATCTCTGAAAATAACCTTGTTGACAACACAAATATGGACTTAAACATGCTACCTCCACATTTAAGATTTAAGAAGCCCCCGGTAAATGTCAGGGGGGTGTCAATGTGTTTGCTGTGATACTTGGTTATTATTAGTGTTTAACTGCAATCCCCCACCAGCGCCACGCCGCCAGCACCACCATAAATTTTAATGTGATCATGTGTTCTTCTCTTCATATCCAGTGAATTCTGCAGGATCATAATATTCCATATGAACCCTAGCTGAACTTTAGTGTGATATGAAGAAAAAACAAGATTTCTAGCAGCGATAGTTGTTCATCGTTTTATAGCTTTTTAAAAAACTGGACACTCGGCAACATGAATAATATTACCCTCAGCTAAATCCACTCATTCAAATGAATCTCTTCTGAGCCCTTACAGGATGCAGGGCATGGCCCAAAGTGCTAATGAGTACATTTATGGGATAGTAAAGAACACTGACTCTTAAGGAAACCTTTTTTTCTCCCCCCTTGGAGAATCTGTCAGAACTCATACATCATTTATAAAACCGAAAAATGTCTCTGCAACCTTGGCACCACCACATACCTTTTATTTTACAGAATACAAACAAAAGCACAGTCGTTTTCTCTATCTCGTCTGCATTGTGAATATAAGGGATGTGTTCTTCACCTTTCATTACGTATGTGCTTAATGGAATATTTTTTTCTACAAGCTTCCATAAATAAAGAGAATTTGCATAATTATTCTTGATCTGCAGGTTTTTCTTCTTTGTTTTAACCAGAAATAGTAACTGGCACTACATGCTGTATTTACCCAAGGAACTCAAAATATTTGGTAAATTTTAGCTACCTAAATATCTCTTTAGAAGCAAAGAATACTATTGAAGCTTTCATTTCAAAATTTGGGAACTTTAAGCCAGAGGCGTGCAAAAAATTAATAAGTCATTAGCAGGGCTTCCAGTTAACTAGATTTCCACTGTTTTATATCAAATTGCCTATTCTTCAAAGCAGCTCATTCTTTTTTTCCCCGTAAAGGAACAAAACCGACTTGCACTCATTCATTTGAGGAATATGAATAATAGTGAAAGGGAATATAAGGGAAGGGAGAAGTGTGTGGGAAATATCAGAAAGGGAGACAGAACATAGAGACTCCTAACTCTGGGAAACGAACTGGGGGTGGTGGAAGGAGGGGAGGGCGGGGGGTGGGGGTGAATGGGTGACGGGCACTGAGGGGGACACTTGACTGGATGAGCACTGGGTGTTATTCTGTATGTTGGTAAATTGAACACCAATAAAAATTAATTTATTAAAAAAAAAACCGACTTGTTACCTAGACATGAGGTTGAATGCTTATGCAAAACACAATTCTGAGTCAATAGGTGTATTTTCCACGTTCAAAATGATTTTAGGGTTAAAGGTTTGGAAGCTAGTGTATTCACTGTTTGCTTGTCCTGTTGTACATGGTGTCATAATTTGCTCAGCAATGACACACAACTATTACCTTCCCACTCTGAGACAATAGGCTTAGAAAGATGCATATACACACAGATGTAAGGCACCCGGGGAGTGTTGTATTATTCCTAACAGCTCTGTGGGCAAGGCGGTCATAATACAATCCGACCTGATAAGGAGGGGCTTTTTTTGGACACACTGGCTTTGTTGGTGCCTCTTTTAAGAAAAGACTGTGGGAGTGTGTGCCTCATTATCTCTTGTCCTAGAAGAAAGAAGTACTTTCAGGGAAGGCTGGTAAGGTTTTTTTTTCCTTCTTTCCTGGCAACTGGCTGAGAAACTTTGCCTTGGAGCGCCATCTAGAGGAAAACAGCCTACGTGTGCCATGCTTTCTTGGCTTTGTGACTCAGACTGAATGAATCCAGTGGTTGGTCTACGATAATATATATATATTTTAATATTAAGACAAAATTTTGTTTCTAATTCAATACACGGAAATACGTATAACTAGAACGGGAATATAATCACTAATGTGAACAAAGCAGTGAAAGCCCTTACTAGTCTGGGGATGCCTGAAGCACTAATGCCCATTCATGGAAATGGGTAAGTTATCATTTTTGCTGTAAGCTGAGGTGTATTCCAGAAATTAGAACTTGTGAGTAAATTAAATTCATTTTTTTCTTCACTGATCGAGTAGTCTTTTTTCATCTCTGTGATTATTTTCTTAGTTAAAAAAATTCTCATTAACCAGGTTGCCCACGGTCAAGTCGAAGAGACTGCTTGTGTTAGGGACAAAAGTAGACATTTTCAACCTATTGTAACCCTTAGTCAAGTTCAGCAAAATTTAATGAGCAGGAAATAATATCTTTTCCAGATGTGGTTTCTCAATTCAAGTGAGGGAGAAAAAATAACATTCACCAATGTATTCTTTTCCAAGTCAGGGTGGGAACTTTAATGGAGAATTCTCCTCTTTTAGAGCTAGCATTAATACGAAAACAAAACCCAAACCTTCTCATACAGGGCTACTCTTCAAGGTTGCTGAGCAGACTTGTAAAAATAACTATACCCTTGAAATACTCTGGCAGTATGAATACTGCCATTGTAGTAACAGCATTTGAGAGCTCTGCTCTCTTCCAGTTCCTGAAAAGGATCACGATGGTCTGTGTTTTGGAAACATACATTGAAGAAAACTGGGTATATATTTCTTTTTACTCCTAAATGTCCTCCCTTACCTACTGCTCTTGCTAACTTGCCCCATCCCGACTATGTTAAGGCTTGTCGTAGAAGTCTTTGACATCTCAACTTACACAAGGCCATTCCTCTTCCCCTTCATCGAACAAGGCTCCTACTGACTTATTTTTGGCAATTCACCATAAATCCATAGGTTCTCCCAAATAACAGGTTAATAATTTCTTTATTGAATGTCTTCTGTGAGCCAGACACATAAACTCTGCACACAGAAAATTATTCCTTGTCTACTGAGATCTGATAGGGAAAAGCAAGATGAAAGTGACTGTTTTTTTTTTTTTTAAACAACTTTGGCACTTGAACAATTAAGGCTAATAGTTCAAAGCATCTTCCTCCCTCATTTGACTGGCCCACTGCTTTCATGGGGTTTGTGCCAGAAGGATAGGGTCAGTCCAGTTTTTCCAGGCCAATCAGCTTGCTCCTTAAGCAGCTGAGAACCCAGAACACAAGTCCTCCAGTATAAAAGCGAAGACAGGTCACATCTATTATGCTATATGCACATTTGAGGTCAAGTTAACCTAACACACATCTGTTGAAAACCTACCAAGTGTACGATGGCACGCAAAGTGCTAGTGAGGTCCTCAGTAAATAAGTGTTGGGCAAGCAAGTGAACGTTGTTGAAAGAATAAGAAATTATCTCTTTAGCCTCAAGCTGCTGACTCTATAGCTAAATGAGAGATCTGTGACTTAAGATACACAGCAGAAAGAAAGACATGTACCAGACATAGTGCAGAGATAGAAGTAATTATTGATGATTGGGGGGATAGGTAAGACTTTGCGGGGGGGGGGCTGGCATTAGATCAATGCCTTCAAGGATGAATAAAATTTCCACAGGCAGAGAACGGGATAGAACATTTCATAAGGAAGGAGTAAAACAATATTTGTTCATTTGGCCAAAGGAAAAGGTCTATCACTTGGAGTTCCCTATATTGGGTTTAAATTTTAGTGTGGGTGCAAAGATGTAAGGTACTTAGATTTATGTTAGAATAATTTAAAACTTGTGTTCTCCTCTATTTTATGTAGTGAATGTGTTTATACATACAAATATACATGCACATTTGTGTACATACATCTGTGTACACACATATGTGGATGTATATAAAACCAAGAGGCCAGAGAAGCCAATATATTTGAGCTGGAAAACATTTTACTTGGTGACAGTTTAACAGTATAAGTGCAAATAAGTCCAAAACAAACCTTATTTCTTGCCAGTAAATGGAGAAGAGAAGATTTTGTTGCAAATCTTTGCCACATTTGCTTTTACTTTATTTATTTATTTATCTATCTATCTATTTATTTATTTATTTATTTATTTATTTATTTATTTATTTATTTAGCTTTTAGTTTAAATTCCAAGGCTTACCTCTGGCCAGTGGCTCTAAATATCTCCAGAAACCAGGCTACCACCTTCCCTGGGCGCCAGCCCCTAGAACAGAGACTTTAAGCCTAGGGTGACCTTAAACCCTAACAACATTTACTCTTACAACTTCCTTCCCTTGGCCTCCCTGGACATCCTCATATGTAAGCACTGTCTCAGGATTTTCACGTTCTTGTGGGTAATGTTCACATGCCCCTACCATGGCTTTCCACCAGCCTAGAGGATTTTACCCATTGATCTCTCTGTTCTGTTACTCACACCCATAACATCTGCAAGAAGATGACTTTGAAAATCCAAGCATTTCTTTTGTAAAAAGAACTGGTTTCCCAAGATAAAACACTGAGAAGAAGCTCAAGCAATCATTCCAAGACTACACCTGCTTCAGGGTGTCGGGTATTTTACAGCATTAATGCTCAGAAATGGTTGTGAAATATATACTCCCATAACCAGGGAAGGTAGGTTCCAGGATAAAATAAATCACGTGGCAATTTGTCAGAGAAATGGAAATGTGAAGAAGGCCTACAGGTTCATGCAAATGACAGATGACCTTCCACCACCACCGAACACACTTACTGTTAGCATTGCAAACATCAGTTGGCACACATTGAAGGCATGTCTCCAGTTGTGGTACAGAACCATTCGATAGTTTTTCCTCACTGTCAAAAGCCACCTACACAGTGTCTGAAACGGGAAGGGAAAGGCTGTATCAAGTGGCTGTATGTGTCTCCAGTGGCTGTTATTCAACCGATGCCTCATGTCTGAGTAATCTTCACCACCCAAAGTCCTCCCACAAACCTCTCATGATTCTCACAGTAATCTCATGAGGTCTGCAGGCTGAGTGTCATCATCCTCAAATTGCATTTGGGGACCCTGGCTACCACGTTGTCCCAGGTGTGCTCCTGGGATCACCCAAGACAGAACATCTTACCTCATAGTCAATTTTAAATTTCTGCACCATCCCCAGCTCCATGAACATGCGAAGGGCAGCTGTGATCATGGCGTCAACGTCAAGAGAGAAGTCGTCAAAATGTATGTCATCGATGGCAAGTTCTGACACCGGAGGGATGTTGGCTGCCTACAAAACGGAAGACATAAGTCAAGCCAAGTTCACCAGCTTTTTCCAAACCCCTCATCTCACTCTCCTTTCCTGCTTATCAGACGCGCCACATAAATCAGACCTGACCTGCACTTACACTCCGATACAGCTAAACTCTGAGCTGGAAATGTCTTTTGTTTCTGAACTGCAAATGCTCCAAGCAAATGAAGAGGGTGGGGGTGGGGGGAAAGGGAAGGTAATCTGAAGAAAAAATATACACCCTGGATCTTGTCTGCAGAATTTAGAATACAAAGCTGTCTAGTTTACTGAAACTGCACTCATACAATATATTCTGATACGTATTACAGAGCACTAAACCAAGAAACATCTGGGCAGCCAGCAGCTGTGAATTTTAATTGCTGCTGTTCAGAGGACATAGGAATACACCCCTTTGCCTTGTTTCTTGAATCCCTACATCCTGTAGCTGTGCACATGGACTTTGTTACACATGTGTTCTATATGTTCAGAAGGATGGAAGGGATCAGATAGCACATCTCTGGCCCCAAATGTTTTCTTAATACAATGAGATGTTTGGAGGATCAGCATAAGCATATGTTTCACTAAAAGAATAAATTTACAACATCGTTTCATTTCATTCTATATAAACATCACAACATAATTACAATACTGGTTGTGCATATTCAGGATTTTTAAAAAGATTTTGTTTATTCATGAGAGACACACACAGAGAGGCAGAGACATAGGCAGAGGGACAGAGGGAGAAGCAGGCTCCATGCAGGGAGTTCATGTGGGACTCGATCCCAGGACCGGATCACGCCCTGAACCAAAGGCAGCCACTCAACCACTGTGCCACCCAGGTGCCCCATATTCAGGATTTTCAAAACACTCACTTTGGGCAGCTGTCCATCAGTTGCCCCACATAAACTTAAAGGGAAGAAAACAATTTTTGGGAAATCATTTTCATGCTGATCTCATTGGGTTTACCATATCCTTTGGGCCATTCTTGGTAAGGGAGTAATTTCTACCTTTCAGATCATTGGAGACATTCTGGATTCATTATTTCTGGTCTACTCACTGGGTGTAAATTACTCAAGGAGTAATCTTCACCTTGGGACTATTTTGGCTGAGCAGTGAAATCTGACTCTGATCACCCTAAGCATTCTAGAAAACATATAAGCAATCCTTCCTTCCCGACTCCATGCTCCTCCATAAGAATTTGTATCTCTAGGTTAAAGTCTAAACACTGGTTATTCCTTATGACACAGAAGAACAATGAACAAATATATAAATGCGGTACAATTGTACGATAGGGATCTAGAACTTTTTCACCTTGTGTGGCTGAAACTCTGCACCCAATGGCCAACTCCTCATTCTCCTCTTCCTTTTCTTTCTTTCTTTTTTTTTTTAAGATTATTTATTTATTTATTTATTTATTTATTTATTTATTTATTTATTTATGACAGACTCACAGAGAGAGAGAGGCAGAGACATAGGCAGAGGGAGAAGCAGGCTGCATGCAGGGAGCCTGACTCGATTCTGGGTCTCCAGGATCACATCCTGGGCCGAAGGCGGTGCTAAACCACTGGGCCACCGGGGCTGCCCCTCATTCTCCTCTTCCCTTCGCCTCTGGCAACCACCCTTGTCCTTTCTGTCTCTATGAGTGTAATTACTTTAGAGATCTCATATAAGTGAAATCATGTAGTACTCATGTGTTTGTAATGGGCTTATTTCACTTAGCATAATGTCCTCAAGATTCATTCGTGTTGGACCATATGACAGTATTGCCTTCTATTATAAGGCTGCATAATATTCCATCGTGTATGTATGCCGTTGACCCTTGAACGACCCATGGGTTTGAGCTGTCGGGTCCATTTATATGCAGCTTCTTTTCTTTTTTTTTTTAATTTTTATTTATTTATGATAGTCACACAGTGAGAGAGAGAGAGGCAGAGACATAGGCAGAGGGAGAAGCAGGTTCCATGCACCAGGAGCCTGACGTGGGATTCGATCCCGGGTCTCCAGGATCGCGCCCTGGGCCAAAGGCAAGCGCCAAACCGCTGCGCCACCCAGGGATCCCTATGCAGCTTCTTTTCAATAAATATGGCACAGGTCTCTAAGTGTGTTTGCTCTTTCTTATGATTTTCTTAATGTTTTATGTTCTCTAGCTTACTTCATTGTAAGAATACTATAACTAGGGACGCCTGGGTGGCTCAGTGGTTGAGCATCCGCCTTTGGCCCAGGGCATGATTCCAGGATCCAGGATCGAGTCCCACATCCGGCTCCTTGCAGGGAGCCTGCTTCTCCCTCTACCTATGTCTCTGCCTCTCTCTCTCTGTGTCTCTCATGAGTAAATAAATAAAATCTTAAAAAAAAAAGAATACTGTAACTAATATATACGATACACAAAATATGTGTTGATTGTTTATGTTATTGTAAGGCTTCTGGTCAATAACAGTCTACAAGTAGTTACATTTTTGGTGATTCAAAAGTTTTATGCAGATTTTGGACTGCGTGGGGATTGGCACCCCTAACCCTCATGTTGTTCAAGGGTCAACCACAATACATTTTCTTTATCCATTCATCTGCTGATGGTTTAGTCTCTCTTTTAATCAGCGTATCTGTCAAGAGGCTTTAGGGTGTTAGAGGTTTTCCTCAGCTGTGTGGTCATCTTTGATTTTCAGATTATGTTTACAAGTCGGGCTCTATAGGTCCTGTTAAAGCTTCTGCAGCCTTCTCTGGAGGGGGAATCTCCCTGGCCTGGTTCCTTGGGAAAGCCCCCAAATGTGGGTATCTTTAGGGCTTTGCTCTTAGCTACTTAGATTCTCCAGAGAAGAATCTTGTGGGTTGAGCCTGGCTGGGAAGATGATGGGGGAAGTCCCTCAGCCTGGGTTTCTAGCTCTTCATTCAACCCGTTCGCAGCCTGTACTCCTACCTCAAGCTCTGTGCTGGTGTCTCCCACACCCGAAGAGCAGCTGTTACACACTCTTAAGCTACACACAGCTCCCAGGGTTTATGAAGTGGAGGTGTGAGGCAAAGATGTCACGTCTCTTAGATTCTCTGTTTTCCTGTACATAGTCCTACCATCATCCCCACTTCCAAAGGTACTTAATTAGCCAGTTCTGGAGCTACCTGGGAGGGGCTTTGTGGTATAAATTTGTTTGCCTTGCAGCTTTTCCCATTGCTGGCTTATTTTGGCTTTTTCGGGTTTGCTAAATTACTTAATAGTCATCCATCTGTTTTCTAGCTTTCAAAATTTTGTTAAGTTCTCTCCCAATTTCTTTGTTTATGCCCTAAAAATTTTTTTCTTCATGGTGTTTTAGTGGGGCCTGAGGAAAGAACAAAAGAAAATGAGTCCATTTACTCTACCATCGTTATCCAAAAATCACTGAAATTATGTTTACTAAATGATGCCTTAACTGATCAGCTTGGAGAACTCAGAGGTAAGCCAGTCTTTGGTTTTTCAGTCCCTTTGTTTCCTTGTGTGTGGGCCTGGACCCAGAACCCCAGAACAACTCTACTTCTACCACACGTTTCAGGGCTTTCTATATACTCTGAATATCTGAGCTTGTAGTCTGTTCCAGTTCAAACCAAAATACAACTGGAAAACCACCTTCCAAGAGAGTAGAAGCCTCGTCTCAAAAGGCACAAGTGTTTCTGCTCTCAGAAGAGTCTGGTCCTGAGTTGGCAGAGGAAGTCCGACCCCCTCACAGCTGGTTTCCCAGGAGCTTATATGGCAGGGGAGGCTGTGCTGCTCTCCAGGTGGCCCCTGTCTTGTGGATTATTAATAGTGTAGTCTCTGATGCCATTATAAATCGTCTACTCTTCAAAGGCACTAAATTCACTTAATTATCTTAAAAATTAAAGAATATGGGTATTTTTTCATTATGAAATGTTAATGGAAAGGAAATAAGAACATTAGGTTGAAAAATGTAGGGTGACCTCTGGTTCACCAAGACCCATACTTATTGACCTTGTCTTTTTTCCCCCTAATAGGTTGATTGATCCATGGTTAAATCATACCAGTCTATAGATCACCCCGAGCCCTGTCGTAAACCCTTGCTGGCACTTGTAGATGTAGAGAAAATCCCTGGCCTTTCAGAAATAGCCGGTTTCAGCTATTTTGAGAAGTATATATAGTTTTCATCCACATTCCTGGGCTCAAGAGAAGTTTCTGGAGGAAATTATGAAGAATTGAGAGTACTGTGTGTTCTGTGGAGGTGTGCATGGAGATCTTGTCTGCAGAAGATTTGGAAAGAGCCTTCCGTTGTCAAATTTCCTTGTTACAGAACTACAAGCTTGGCATATCTTCTGATAAGTAGAGAATGGGACCACATCTTCCAAACCTATAATTACTCTAGACATAGTATATTAACAAAACAAATCAAAGTCAATTTCTCCAAGTGTCAGTCTTCAACTTTTAAATATTTATAAGGCACCATATCCCTAAATCAAAGAGGAGTGCTACAATCCAAAATAACTACTGAATTAATAGCCAGGAAATAACATTTGGATAAAAGAACCATTTACTTTACTGCAGCAATAAATGAAAACACAGAATTATGAGTCCTGGAGCTAATTTGAATAATGTTCAAGAAGTGGGACTCTAGCTGGCTGGGAGTACCTGATATCCTTTGACCATTCCTCTTCTTTGTTTGGGTCTTAATAGTTAAGTGGTTATCAAAGGGAGTCATAAAACTGCCTCCTCTAAAATTGAAAAGGTAGCTTTACAAAGAGGCCATAAAATGTTAAAATACAGTCCTGGATCCCCTGACACATGAATATTACATTTTGTGATGTTCAGAAAATGGGAAGAAACAACAAAGTGGGTGGTGGGTCCAGCCCAAGCCTCTCAAAGGCAAAATGACTTGTCACCAATCCAGTCTACTCATTCACTAACCCCTTTGGACAAGAGCAGAAGTTGGGTGCTGTAGGATCCTGGAATTAATGCTGACAGGAGACTAGGCTGTGGGGATGTCGAAGGGATTGCAAACTTCTTTATTTCGCCGCACTTTTATAGT